GGGGGGACACCAACTTGGTAAGTTGTTGCCTGGGTGCTTGCCTAGTTGTCACGAGGTGCCACGTGTCGCAATTTCACTGGAGGGCCAAATCTGCCCTCATCACTAACTGTTAGTCATGGAGGGTGGTTTCTGTTTGAGTTCCTTGAAATTTCCTTCTCTGGAATAACATTTTGAAGAATTGGACATTTATATATTGATTTTGGATTAAAATATTTGCATTGGCCTTTAGTATGAGAAATGAGGCAACTTGTTATTGTGGGGTTGGGTATTTTATTTGTTTCCCAGAGTAATAGGTGAAATAGATTCATGGAATATCTCTTCTTTTACAAATTAATATATGAATTAAATTGTTTTCTTTTTTCTAGTACTCAAGGATCTGAATTTGTTGACTGGAAAATTATTTTAATGTTTTGGTGAAAACAAGAAAAAAAATGCAATTGCTCAATTAATTGATGTCATCATAATCATATTTCTTTCCTAAAGTAAGCAAACTTACAAAATAAACAAATATTTTTTTTCAGCAGTAAAAGAAATAGTGAATGATGTTCTTCCACTTTTAATTTGATCGAAAAGAAATTAGGTATGCAACCCTGCAATCATATCATCCTTGATCATAGATATCCATAATGTCCATCACACAAAAGTCCATTAGTTGAGTTTTACCCAACTCTTCATAAAGGGATTTGTTCAGCTTATATTCTAGTGTCATAACCTAAATTTTCAGGATACGAAAATGTTTGTGTTTTGCCCTTTTATGAACAAACAAGTAGAACGTGTGAGGCTAAAAAATTGATTGTTATGATAGACTACCATAGCAAGACAAATGGTCAAATGGAATCCCAACTTAGACATGGAGTCAACCACCCTATCTCTCAAGTAATAGTCAAGCACCACAATACTTGATCTTTTTCTTGGTAAGAAACTGATTTCATTCAAGAGACCATAATACTTTATCTAACAATGCTTTCAGTGTTCAAATTAGAAAATTCCTTCTTCCTACACGTATTACAAAATAAGTCAAGTTAACAGCGAGTAGAATGTTGGTATGTTAGAAATATGGTGGCATATGAGAGAAAACTTTGGCTGTCCACATTTGACTGCCTGGGCTGTCCACATGTTATTTCACCCAGACATGCATCCAGCATCAACACTGTTACACTGAATCTGTAACTAACATGTCATATGGGGAGAACCCTCTTGACAGCCCAGGCTGTCTAATGAGATCCTTAGACTGAAGAGTGGAGAGGATTTAAGACATTTCAAAATCGCGTGGACAAACCTCAAGATGTGAAGTCAATAGTGCTCATCAGGAAAACAAAAGGTGAAGTTATGAGTGCATTCTCAAGTGGCTGAAAAATATTTTGGTTCTTGGTTCACAGTAACTTTAAAGCAAGAAATGCTCAAAGTAACAAGTGTAGAATAACCAATTAGAATGTTCCCTAGCAATAGGTTTCCCACTATAACAAAACCCTTCTATTTTCTGCTGAGTGAATGGATCCAATTTTGTTCAAGCATTTTGTTCGCATGTATTAGGGTGCATGTTCCAATTGATTTTGGACCTCTGAATGACCCAACTTTCTGATGCCAGTGAATGAGCAAAAACACAAATTTTAAATGAGGGAAATGAATGTGCAATTTGTTTACTTTTCTGTATTCTGAAATCCGTATGTTGGATGCAGATTATGATGTTCCAGAGCCTTCTTTTGGGTGGAAGATCAGAGGTATATGATCAATACAGGGATTGGCGGCTTGATGTTGATAATATGACATATGAGGTGTGAAGTTCTCCCCTCTCACATACTGCCTTTGCATCATGTCCCCGACTTTATCTAAATTATCTGCATTTATTCCATTTAATGGAATGACACAGATCACTTCATCTAACTACTTGTATGATTCTTTTGACTGTAATTGTGCAAGCAGGAATTGCTTGAACTGGGAGATAAAATTGGGTATGTAAATACTGGTTTAAGAGAAGAAGAGATATTCCATTGCCTCAGAAAAATTAAGCACTCCTTTATGGAGGATCTGCAATCACATATTCCCACTGAAACAGATTGGAAATGTAGCATTTGTCAAGTGCGTAATTTTTTTCCCTGTTCCTTTCCTTTACCTCCTTACTTTCTCTTTGCTTACGTAAAGAGGTTGATTATGTACATTTGTGTTTGGATATCATTCAGGAAGAATACGTAGCTGATGATGAGGTGGGAAAGCTGGACTGTGGCCACAGTTATCACATATTTTGTATAAAGCAATGGCTTCTGCAGAAGAATGCTTGCCCTGTCTGCAAGGCTGCTGTAGCAGCTCAATACTAAGATTGGAAATCATTAAAGAATATGATGCTGATAATGAGATGGGAAAGCTAGATTGTAGTCAGAGCTGTCACATGTTTTGCTTAAACCAATGGCTTCTGGAGTGCTTGCCCGGCAGCCATGCTGCCAAGTGCCAGCTCAATATTAAGATTGACTTCATTTGACCTCAGTGTCTGCCAATGGGTATTGGATCAGTGTTTCTCCTTTTTGGCTTCTTGTACAGTTTTCGACTGAAATAAGCATGCATCCATTCTTTGTTGTGTAATTCCTCTACCCGTTTGCCTAATATAATATATTGGGTTTTTGTGGGAGCCACAAACACTTGAAAGTTTGCGGCTGTTCGCATCACCATTTCATGGGCAACATTTCATTCAGTAGTTTTGGTTTCCTGTGAGATGAAAATACTTTTAATACAGTCAAAAGTTACCATTCAGTCATATTTGCTAATTTTGTGCGCAGTATTGCCGTGGTGAAAGGTCTCATTTCGCGATGTGGCACATATGGCTTAATTACATAGAAAGCATTTAGAACTAAAATGGCCGTAGAATGGGAAAATAAGACCAATCAAGGGATCCTCCCGTGGCAGTTGGCACCCATCCATGTCTGCCCGAAATATGAGAAAGTTCCTAGAGAGCGGGGATGGGTTACTGGGGAGTCCGGATCATCTGCCCATGAGAACTCTGCCCATGCCTACCCACAATACACTATTCCCCGTGAATTGGGAATATCTCTTCCTGCATAATACTATACAGATAATGAGATGTTCTCCATGTGTGGCTCTGATAAACGTGGGCAGGAGATCCGGACTCACTACCGGGTGTAGACTATAGGAGGGGGGGGGGAGAGAGAGAGAGAGTAATTTCTTGTTTAATCTTTAAGGTCTATTTGTTCCACAACCGTAAAATTAACTCGAAACAAAGTTAAAGAAACATGTTTTCTGTCCTTATTTACTATTTCCTTTAAACAAATGTTTTTAAGTTGATGACAATATGATATTGATACAACAAAGACATAATTGACGCCAGACTTTCCCTTTCTTTTGTATCGTGTACATAATAAATATGTTACTTGATCAGTGTTCTTTATCCAGCTGCTCCTCTTTGCATGCTAAAAAATTAATGCGAAGTACATTTCACTTGGACAAACTAAGGAGAGGTGATGAAATGGTGTAACGGAGAATCATGTCACATCATGACGAGTGAGGAACTCAATTATGCATGGATACACTTGTTCCACTGCCTGCATGGGCGAGAAAGGAAAACAGGAAAAGGAGACGCATCAGAGCCACAACAACCGTTGAACATGGAAATGTTACCAGACAGAACTTGGTCCTTCAATGTATCGAGTCATATTGAGAACATTCAGAAGAAGCTCGTAACCTTCGAAATTAAATGACAGAAAAATAAGAAAGCAAAATACATACCAAACGCCCTCCCACCAAATCATAGTGCGCATAATGAGGACCACCAGGTTGTCCAAGGATCTTATATGTAACCAAATGCCGAGGAATTACCTTGACAGTTTCTGTGCCATCCACAACAACAGGAGTCAGAAAAAGAACCAAAAGAAAAAGGTGTGCCTTGGTAAGATCTGAAGCCATTAGAGATAAAGCATACTTTATTTCCAATTACAACTTTGGAACGTACCATACACAGCTTCAGGTGGGCATATCAGGTCTTGGTCTCCCGCAAATGCCAGGACAGGGATATTGCTTTTGTGCAAATGATCCTTGAAGAAGAAAGTACCATCCCTGTTACGTAATCCACCCTCTTTGAAAGCAGTTGTTAGTTGCAGGACGAGCTTAGCAGGTATAGTACCTGTCAATCATGATTACCTGCTAGATAATTAACTAGCACTGAAGAGAGAAGATGAAGGAATTAAACATGCAATAGAACAGTTCCTATGACAATATTAGTGCAAAGGTGATTCCTGTAGAAGATGAAGAAACCAAGGCAATAAGGGAAGATATCATATGGTGTAGAGGGTACATCGGCACGTTTATAATGGTGGAATCTTCTCTTATTATGAATGGTGATGAGTTAAAACTTAGCAATGGAGTGTGGTCCCAAACAAACAAGTAGGATGCTAAAGGCGATGGGTTACAGCAAAGCCATATTGTTTTTTTTGGTGATGTCGCAGTTGTTCTTGTTATGAAAAACAAAATCATATACATATTTGTAGCAACTAGCAAGCCCCATTTTATGTACCCCAACTGCGAATTGGCCGCACACAGGACCATGAGAGGGTCTTTAATTTTCCAGTTTCACATTTTATTTCTGTAACACAGTAATGTTAGGATCTTAGGATTTTTTCCTGAGTTTCAATTACCTTAGAAAAGGATCCCCGATTCTCTCAAGGACTGTCATAGTTGAAGTGGAGATTCCATATTCTGATTGAGAGTTTGAGGGCAAGCAAAGGGCGTTCCTTTTAAATAAAGATCCTCAACAATTAAAAAATGGAATGGAATAGAATGAAGCTGAGATCTTTGACTGTCTTGATTGCTGCCATCTATTGATATGAATGCTCTACTTGATAGTAAGGCTCCATTTTGAAGCTCTAAGGTAGATTCTAACCCCCCAAACCTCCATTGATGTCATGAGATTTTTTGTTGCATCTTATCATTTGTCCTATTAAACAGCTATCCATTCAACAAGGTAAAAGCAAAGAAGTTAAAATTGAAATTTTCTAAAATTTTTATGTATTTCTATACTTTTAGACAATAGGGGCATTTTTATTATTTTATGTGGTTTGTAGGAGTCGGTCTTAAATTTTAATTTGTCTAATTATAGTTGGTTTACGTTTAAAGTGACTCATTAGTTAGGTATAGGTATAAGTAGTTTATGACTGAGTTTCCACAGGATAATTAAATTCTATTTTATTGAGTAACATGCAGTGAAAGAAAAAAAAAAATGATTCATAATTGTAGTAGGGATGGCCACCCCTATAGTATCTATATGTATGCATAAAGTGCAAAAACATGAGAACGCATAAAATGAGTTCATTTGAGTTCTTAAAGCTTATGCTAAGAGTGTTGATCAATTCCCGTGCCTTAGAATGATTCTAGGCACCTTGGTGAGTGGTTCTGGGTTTTCTCTCTCTTCTTTTTTCACTCTACTTTGTTTTTAATTTTCCAAGCAGCCATTATAGGCTATCAATGGCCCATAAGTTCTAACATTGAACTCACTGAAGGCATTAACACGACATCCCTAAAGAACTGAAACTGATCCCAGTAAGTTTCTTTGTTTTACATCAAGAACCAAAATTTTCCATTTCAACAAATTGTCTTTTTGTCACAAACCATCTCCTATTACTTCTCTGTTTGGAATCCCCTAATAGATCTTTGTAACCTTCCACACTCCCAAGTTTCATCTCAACTCCACCTAGCACCCTGGATTCTAGAGTTTTTGTTTTTTGTGTTTATTTTTTTACAAAATAAAATTTTCATCCTTTCATACAAGGTGTACAACAACCCTATAAAACTCAGTCACCCTTTATAACTATCCAATCAAAACTTAAGGAATTTTATTAAGAATTTCCATCCCTACATTTAGTTTTCGAATTTTCTATTTTTCCATCCTCCTATAAAGAATTTGTAGTTCTCTATCAACCCTTTTAGTCCTAAAATCAGCTCTAAGTTATTCCCAGCCCATTGTTACATCCTAGATTCATCCCTAGGTCACATAGATCTTACATCAATTGGTATCAGGTTATAGGTCCTACAACATTTTGGAATCAGAAAAGCCAATCCTCCCCCTTAACACCAAATTCTAGTCTTTTAAGTTTCCCATAGCCACCCCAACAACCGTCATGTGCTTTTTACCAAATCTTCCAACCTAAAGTAGGCCTGGGATCCTTTCATGGTTCAATCAATACCTAGAAACTTCTCACCCGTGTGAAGATATGCAACTTCTCCAAAGACCTGGGCTCCAAGATCAATTTTCTAAATTCTGCCAATTTTGAAATAGTCCTAATAGGTTTTAAATCTCTATAAAAGAGTATTTTGGAGCCTCTAAGTTCAATAAGTGCAGGTTAGCCATTTTATTTAGTGATACCAACTAATCACTTAACTGGCTATATACTACACTTAACTGAATTACCATTGGGATGCTATCTTAGGCTCAGATTAGTCTGCACTGAACTTAATCATAACAACCATCATCATCTAAGCCTGTTCCCAACTATAATAGATTGGCTACATGAATCCTGTTTCACCGTTCTGTTCGTGCACTTAACCAATAACAACCATATCTTTTGTTTGCTGACTGGTCCAGTTCAAAAATCAAAATGCTCTATCTGAATCAATTTGTTGATTGAGCTTCATATGCCCTATCACCTATTAACAAGATCTGCATTAAGACATGCTGCAAACATAATGCACTAGCCTGAGCAAACACTGAAGTATGAACTCCAATTGGTTAAGAAAGGAAAAGCAGCTCCATACTTACAAAAATTGTTCAAGACAAGTTTTTCAAACAACTCCGGATGCATCATGTCCTCAGCTGAGATCTGAGCATTAAGCCAAGACAACACATAAGGAGGACGACAAGAAAGGGGATAAGCAGCTGCCAATAATGCCCCCAAAGGTACAACAGGAACATTAAGTGCCTGAGCAGGATCTGCCTGCACACCAAGACAAAAGACCATTATATTCTGGTTCAACGGCCAAAGATATTCTGACTAACAAGTAGAAAATTGCCAAACAAGAAAAATAAAGAACTATATAGTACAAAATGATGCTGCTCCATTCCACTTACAAGGGGTAGGAGTAACTTGAGTGATGACTTGGAAGAAGTGTAATCAAGTGATGATGCCAAAGTAACAACTGCAACCAATCCAGAGTCTCTTCCCTCAAAGCCTTACAACACAAGCAAGCAGGTAAATAGAAATAAAAATCTATAATGAAACTGAGAGAAAATCAATAAGAATTTTTCATAATAAAATTTAGTTATGGGAACTGCTATACACCATAGCTAAATGCCAGTTGTTGCATAAAAAATATGAATAGAAAAAATAGACAATGAGTGTATGTATTTCTCCAAAAAAAAAAGAGTTCACCGTTTATAAACAATAGAACAGTCAAAGGCTTGGGTCAATGGAATATGCTAAAGAAAGCTGTTATCCATGTGGTGAGTGGTGACCTGGTGTGTGGGCAGATTCTTGAGGACAAAGTGACAGCTTTTAAGGCTTTGAGGAGCTGCATCTTATCCATGCTTGTTTTTTGGAAGATAGCCACCAAGATTTGTGGGAAACCTTTTCATGATTTGAGAAAAATCTTACTAGAAATCCTCCAATCCTCTGAAGGCACAAACATTCCCTCCCTCCAACCAAAAAATAGGGATAAAAAGGACAAAAGAGCCACTCTTCCTCCTCAGGTTGTAGCCTAGATCAACTGCAAGTTGATGGCACTTGGAAGCTTAGTTAGGAAACCCAAACCAGCTGGCATAGGTGTGATACAAGGCTGATGGAAGCATGTGAGGCTTTGATTGGGCTCATTCGATATACAAAATCTATGAAATGGAAGTTGGGCCCTATTTATGGTTGCTTGATTAGTAAACCATCTTGAACTTTCATTGCTTGTCATAGGAGATTCCAGAAATGCTATCAGATGGTGTGAAATTGCAGGTAGTATGTGATGCAGGATGGAAGCAAGGAAAGAAACAATGCAAGAAGAAATCAAGTTTCTTCATATTCTTGAAGCAATGGCAATTTTGTAATTTTTGGGTGATTCAGACTTTGGTATTTTTCAGTTTCTTTAAAGTTCATTTATACTCTGTTAGTGTCTTAGGACCAGGGTTAATGGTCTTAAAGAGTCACAATAGTTTAAAGAGTTTTGTTAGAGAATTTTTTGATTTCTGATAAGATACAATCACACCTCTTTTCTTTCAGATTATTTTTAGGGGCCAAAATTTGTGCACCCTGCATATTTTGGTTTTATTAGATAGGTTATTGAGTTACCTATCCAATATTCCAATGAGACCAAGATCATGTAAATCTGACATGTTTGAGCAAGTTATAGCCATTTTAGTGATAGGGTGTTCAGGTCAAGGTTCAAAATTTCGACATGATATGCCTCTTGTATCAGGTGTTTTGTATTGTATTGGGAGGTCTTTGATACGCATTTTCTAAGGCGCTTCCAGAAAATCACATTTGTAGATGTTAAATAACATAAACACCAGCCCCTGTGAAAATTTGTAAGTAAAAAACTAAAAACATAATAATAATTTTTCAGTGTCAAAACACCCAATAATAATTGCCCAGTCTCTTCTTTGATCTGGGGGCATTTCTTTTAAGGTTTTGGAGATTAGCTGGACTATGCCAAAATCTGCGAAGGAGCTGCTGATGTGTTGGAGAATTGAGGGTCTCAGTAAGAAAGGAAAGATTGTTTGGAGTACCACTCCAGCAGCTGTGTTATGGTCCATTTGGATTGAAAGATGTAGAGAAGGATGGGCCGAATGGCCCATAGGCTGTTTATCCTTTTTTATCTTTTATGTTCTTTGCTGTAATGGGCCTTATTCTGGGTTTATTCTTTCTTATGTTATGTCTTTTTAATTTGAAATAGAATTAAGGGTGTAAGAGAAGAGATTATGTTCGAAAATCTCTCTCTCTGAACCCAAGTTGCCACCACCTTCTTCTTCTTCTTCTCTCCCCTTGAACTCTGATTTCTGCTACTTTCTTTTGAACTTTTGCATCTTTATAAACAGTCCTTTCTTCTCAAAAGACTGTTTTTCTTCTAAAGAAATAACAGAATCTTCTGTGGTAAATTTAAAAGCCCGGATGAAGTAGTGCAGAGTGCTGTCTGTGGGCATGTTATGTTCTTGGGTGTCGGTGAATGAGGAATTTAAAAACCAAAATGTATCTCTTTTATTTTGTTCTAAATCATGGATGAGCTTGTAATTTGACTTGTGCCCAGGCAATCTTAGTGGTCTGGGTCTTGTTGTATCTCTCTTTTATGGGCTGAATAAATTACTTTACCTTTTCCAAAAAAAAAAAATGTTTGTGTGTACTGGGTGCATCGATACTTTGAACCTTGGTTTAGGCCATTATAGGATTTGAGTTTCTATTTTTTGGGTCTATCTTGGAGTTGTTTTTGTTTGTTTAGTGGTCTTAGAGATATTTTAGGAGTCCAAGTCCTTAATTCTGTTATGGGTTGCCTACAGCTTTGCCCTAGTCCTAAAAGCAATCAGGAATTGGATCTGGTCAGTCCAAATTGGAGTTTGTAAAGGGAAATTTGAGTTCTTATATTGACTCTACAAAACCAGTTATGCTAATTGAGCTTTTAAATGAGAATTAATAAGTGTTATGAAATTACCTGTGACTAAGAGTGTGATCCTCTTACCCTTTACCTCTAAAAATGCAAATTTTTCCTCTTTCTCTTATATAGTTCATATTTAAATTTCTTCTTGTCACCTTAGTAGAACTTTCTCGTTCTGTCCTATACCAGTTTGCCTATGTGACACAGCCCACTACCTTAAATGAGAATTAGGGAAATACGAGCAACTAGGAATTTCAAAACAAGATGGATTCTAAAAGAACTGAATTCTACAGTCAATATGCTGACCAAATCAATAATTTAACAGAATTTTTGTACAAAAATAGTTCCTTATTTGAGTAATTTTTTCTTTTCTGGGTTTTTTTGATAACCATGAATTTTATTGAAGGAGGAAAAAAGTGGTTTGGTCTCCTCAGTTCAGAAGAGGTCTTTTTGACTGGGAAATTCAAGAAGCTCCAAATCTGTTGGAGACTCTACAGGCTCAAATCATTGAACATAATCAGGATGACAAATGGATTTGGATTTGGTCCAAAGAAGGTGTTTTTTCAGTTAAATCAATGGCTAGTAGACTTGGTAGTAGAGTGGCAGTGGGAGATTCCCCTGCTAAACAGATTTGGAACCCTACCTGCCCCTCTAAAGTTAATTTTCTAGTCTGGACAATGGCTTTGGACAAATGTCTATCCCGAACCAATCTTGAGAGAAGAGGGTTGCAGATTCTGGACAAGTCCTATGTCCTTTGTGATGATCATCTGGAAACTACGGACCATATATGCATTCATTGCCCTTTTGCTGCTCGGGTGTGGCATCACTTCTTGAAGACGGTGGGGATTTGTTGGGTCATGCTTAAATCAGTTAAGGAGTTACTCTGCTGCTGGAAAATCAGTAATTTGAAGAAAAGATGGAAATTGGTTTGGACCATTATTCCGGCAGCTGTGATTTGGGCCACTTGGTCTGAGAGAAACAACAGAATTTTTAATCAAAAAGTGAGAGGGCTGAGGATACAGTTCAGCTGGCTGTTGGTAAACTGCTCTCTTGGATCTCAGTCACTCCTGAATTCAGACACTCAAATGTAACTCATCTATTGAGAACTCAGTCAATCTGGTGCTTGTAATGGGAGTCCCTCAGGCCTATCCGTTTGTGGGCAGGTTCTGTTTTGTACTTCTATGAGTTAGTTTTAATAAATTTATCTTACCTTTTCAAAAAAAAAATGAGGGAGGAAAAATGTGTATAGTTACAAAAACTTATAAACAGCCAATGAGAGATAAAACCCCGTATCTCTCTTCTATTTCTTTCCCTCTTTTTCTTACAATTGTGCCTAAAAGAGTTGATCTCTCCCCACGCCTTGTTTAGCTGGTCTATTAGCCATGTTATTAGAAGTACTTTTAAACAATTGAAACCTCATTTTCATATCTTTAGTCACCCAAGTCCACATCTTTGCATCCCTACTTTGTAACTATCCCATCACCAACTCATCAATAAATAAATAAATAAAATCCCATCACCAATTTAGAATCTCCTTCAATGATTAACTTTTTATATTCAGACCCTTTGCCCTTTCTATTCCTTCCATCATCGCCAAGACTTCACCCCTTAAAGAGTCACCAACACTGTTCAGGCCTTTTTTTTATCAGCAACACAGAAAAAATTTCATTAATTATGAGAGAAACATGATTACAACAAGAAGTTGTGAAAGGAAGCTGCCCCAAATCAGTACTACATTTGAGCCCAAAACATATGTGTTCTATGTACCCCTTGCTTGGCTAAGCTATCTGCCATGCCATTAGCAGTCGTCCTCACCCATTTCACTCGGATTAACATGTCCTGTGACAGCCATTTAAATTTTCTGAATTCATTCCTCAAGTGCCATGCCATCTGCTCCCCTTTAACCAGCCACTTAACCACAGTTTTGGAATCTCCCTCAATAATCAGCCTACTAATACCCAGTTCTTTTGCCTTTCAACCCCAACACCGTTCAGGCCTGACTATAAAGCAATTTACATGGCCCTCTAAAAACCCCTACTCCTGGCATCCCCAGGTTTTCTTTTCTGGGTTAGGACCATTTTTCCATTTTTATGCAGCACTTTATATCATCTCATGTAAACATTCTTTTTATATTTATCTTTAATTCAAAACAGTATCCCCTCTTCTCAAAATGAGAACTAATGGCATTGTGACTAAAAACCTTATAGACCAGGCAACCTTAAAGTTGTTATTTCAAATAACTCCACTCTTGCTCTATAGAGAAGGGATTGCAACCCAAAGATTGATATTTCAAACAACTCCTTGTTCCCATATGACACTTTGCATTGATAAGGCTGATGTGTGACTCACCAATTGATGAAAAATTGTGAAAGAAGTAACAATAATCAAATTGACAACGTCAAGAATTTATTTTCTAATCAAATCCATTAACAATCCCTGAGAAAGTGACAATGTGAGAATGTGAGAATGTCTTGAGTTGGAAATTCTGTCCACAATAGGAGACAAAGCCAAATGAGGCAATTTTCTACGTGAATTTTGATGGAGAAAGGAATTGATTGCCTTTCTAGATTAGGCAAGGCATTGGACACAAAGAACTGGAACTTTTGGTGACGAGAGATAGACCTGAAAATGTGAGAGAGAGAGAGAGAGAGATTTGAATGAGAGTAAGGGTACATGGGCTTAGAGGCATACTTCTCAGCAAGGGGCATTGACTCTAAGTTCCAGCTTGAACCTCTCAATTCTAACTTCTGAGATCACAAGTTTGATTGCCAATAGTCTAGTAAGAGCGGGAGTGACAAGAAGTGAGTTTCTTTGGGAATCTAACATGTCAAACTAGATCTATTTTGTGTTTATGTTGTGTGACTGAACCCATTTTTGGGCTTAGATCACCCTTGGTGCTTTTTTATTTATTTTTCTCTCTTCCCTTTTTCCTTTTTTTTTCCAATAAGTACCACCCTAGGTGATTTTTTTATTCACAGGAGTTCTATCTCAAGAATTTCATATTAGTACAGATATATATTATGCTGCAATAAAGAAAAAAAAAATGAGATCTGCATTACTTCAACAGGGCTACTAGAATTTATGGGCTTGTTAAATTCTCTCCACTTCTGGTTTTTCCTTTTGTGCTTTAATAAAACTTTCAGTTACTGATCAAAAAAATAAAACAGAAGAAAAGTTAGTAAATGATAGAATAATCAATTGATGGATCGCACATGAACCTTGAGCCATTAAGCCTTGTTGTTTTGCATGTTTTAACCAGCTAAAAGGAGAACAAACAAAAAATTTGTACAGGTCATCTAATTACTGTAAAGCTCCAAGTAGGTTTGCAAACGATAGATGAAAGAATGAAAGCAATAGCAATCAACATCTGTACGTTAAAAGAGTGCAGGACAAATCAACATAATTATAATAAGAGGGACCATAGAGTAGGCTGGGAGGTGGTGACCAGGAGTAAAAACAGTGGTGGTTTGGGGCTTGGGAACATTAGAAAAAGAAATTTGGCCCTTCTGGGAAAATGGTTGTGGAGATTCCCACTAGAGAAGGAGAAGTTATGGGCCAAGATAGTGGTCAGCATACATGGGCCAGTGTTTTAAAAGCAAAAGGCACACAAAAAGCGACAGGTTCCAAATGCGCCTGAGGCACAAGGCGCAAGGTGAGGCGCCCGCCTTTTTAAAAAAGGTGCACAAAATTAAAGAAAAAAACTAAAAAATTGAAAAAAATAGAAAAAATAGAAAGGGGCCGAGCCCTGTTTTACTGTTTTCAAACTAATATTTGCTGCTGATAAAAAAAGTATTGTGGAACAGTGGGGCGGAGCCCTTGTTTTAGTGTGAAACAGACAAGGAAAGAAGAAGATGAAGAAGAAAGTGGGGGAAGCAGAATCAAAGAAAAAACTAAAAATAAAAATAAAAAAAAAGAAAGGGGTCGAGCCCTGTTTTACTGTTATCAAACTAACATTTGCTGCTGATAAAAAAAATATTGTGGAACAGTGGGGCGGAGCCCCTGTTTTAGTGTGAAACAGACAAGGAAAGAAGAAGAAGAAGAAGAAGAAGAAGAAGAAGAAGAAGGGGGCGGAGCCCCTGTTTTACTGTAAATATATTTCAGAAGAAGAAGGGGGCGGAGCCCCTGTTTTACCGTAAAAATATTTCAGAAAAAGAAAGACGATGAAAAAAAAAACAAGAGTGGGCGGAGCCCCTGATTTTCTGTGAACAAGAAGAAGAACTGAAGGAGGAGAAGAAGAAGAAAGGGGCGAGCGGAACCCCTGTTTTCAGTGTAAAAAGAGAAAAAACAAATACCTGATGCTGATTGCTGAAAGCCTGAACGTTGCAGTTGGTCGTCTGACTGAGAGATGGCCTCTGATAGAACTTCGAAGGTGGCTGTTCGATTGAGAGATGGCCTGAACTTGATGATCCAAGAAGAACGTGGGGGCTGAGGGCTCGAGACTTCGATTGATACTGGGAGCCTGAGAAGCCTTTGCATAGCAAGTTTTTTCTCTTGAGAGGGTTGTGAATTCTTTCTTTCGTATTTGCTATACCATATCCCAACCATTTTGGCACATAAAAGGAAATAATCTATACATATATGATTATAATCTATCTATAAAAGTCAATTTAAAAACAAATAAAAAAACAAAGGGCAACCAACATAGGTGTGTGCCTGGACTGCCTAGCGCCTAGCCTGAGGCGCACGCCTTAGGCGCAGAGGCGAGCGCCTTACTAAAGTGTCGCTGCCTTGACCTAGGTGAGGCACCTGCTCTCAAAAACGCCTCGCCTTGCGCCTCAGGCATGCCTTTTAAAACACCGACATGGGCTGGAGCTAAATGGATGGGATGCTGGAATCCGATTTAGGACTACAAACGCTTCACCTTGGAAAGCCATTCATGAGTTGTTACCAGTTTTTTCCCCTCTTATCAGGTATGACTTGAATTCAGGTAATTCCATAAAATTATGGGAACAGACTTAGGTGGGGAATGCCCCTCTAAAGGACCAGTTTCCTTCTTTGTATGCCCCCTCTAACCTTAAAAATGAGCCAATTTCCTCTTTCATAACCCCCTCTCTTCCTTTTCTGGGTTTGGGTGGAATTTGGGATTGAGAAGGGCTGTGAGAGACTCAGACCTTGACAGCATTTCAAGTCTCCTTCAGCTTCTTGACAATATTTTCTTAGACCCTACTAAGGTGGACTCTAGAATCTGGACCCCCACCCCCACTGGTTCATTCTCCTGTGCCTCTTTCTTCAAAGTTTTAAGCCAGTCCACCAGTCCTGTAGCCCTCCCTTTTCTTGTTCATGAGGTCTGGTGCAGACCAATCCCTCCTAGGGTTGGTAGTTTTTGTTGGGAAGCCTTTCTGGAAAGAATCAACACTGGTGATCTGCTCCAAAAGAAGAGACCCAATACTTGTTTGTCCCCTCACTGGTGTGTTCTTTGTAAAGCTGATGGAGAGACTGGTTTTCACCTATTGGTGTCTTGCCAATTTGCAAAGTCTATTTGGGAGTGGGCTCTCTCCCTCTTTGGGTGTAGTTGGAACCCTCCATCAAATTTGCAAAATCTTTTTTTAGGTGGCGCATGAAAAGGGGAAGGACTATGTGGAGAGGACTGAGGGCTATGGTTTGTTGGTCCTTATGGGAAGAAAGAAACTCCAAGATCTTCTCTGAAGTATAGAGAAGTGCTGAAGAATTGAGGGCTCTGATCCTTATAAGGGTCTTACAGTGGATGAAATCACTAGAGCTATTCACAGATTATACAGTGGATGACATGTTGAGGAAATGGGGTGATATTGCTAATAGTACCTAGACTAAAACAGTGATGAGTGTGTCTTAGACTCCCCCACCTACGGGTTTCATAAAGCTAAACTTTGATGGGAGTTGCAGAGGGAATCCTGGACAATCAAGGATTGGGGGTGTTTTCAAGGATGAGAATGGGGTTGTTTTTGCCATGTTCTCAGGCCCAATTGGAGTGGGTGACTCTCTCAAAGCCGAGATCCATGCGGTTATGGAAGGAATCCAGAAAGCTAGGGAGATGAATATCAGAAAACTTATAATTGAAGGGGACTCGGAGGTGGTTGTAGGATGGCTGAATAAAGACAACAGTGGCTTATGGAATTACAGCAATATGAGGAGGAAATTTAGATGGCTGGCTCGAGAAATGGAAGTTAAAATCAGTTGGGTAAAAAGATCAGCTAATTCTTTTGTTGATAGGTTAGCTAAACAAGGGGCGGAGAGGGAGTCAATGTTTTGGGCACAGTTGTTAATTTTATTTTTTCTATTTCTCCTTCTCTTTCTCTTTTTTCCTTTTTTCCTTTCTCGGGGCTCAATTTATAGCTGGAAGATAAGAAAGTCTGTCTTTTGTAATTATTATTGAGATTATTTAATGAATTGTGTTATTGATAAAAAAATAATAATAAGGAATTAGCAATGACGACTTATGTGAGGAAAATTGCAAAAAAAAAAAATCTTCTCTAAATATTGACAACCATTGCTGGGAATATTATTACTTCTGGACAAACACATTAATAGGGCAAAATATGAAGTGGGATAACATCTTACCAGATTGTGATAACATCGCATACAGCAAGATACCCCCCATGGAGTGACCAATTGCAAGTAACTTACCATCCTTTGGCTTGCTTTGAGCCCTTATATATTCCATCTGCATTAGTAAAACTAAAGATCATTACGTTCATCATCCATACAGTAGTAAGTAGAAGAAAATCTCTATATACCATATAAAATTGGCAAATTGGCAAAGAAAAAGATTTACAATGCTAACATCCTTCTAGCATGAGATGTCACCTCACCGCAGTAGGAACATCCTCTTCCAAGTAGTTATCAAAGTCCCAATCATACTTGATAATCAGGTCAAGTTGTTTCTGGAAATCTTCTATGGTTGTTGAAAAACGCTCTTGCAAGTCAAAAAACTGTGGTGAAACAGATCGTTGACCTTCTTCAATAATATTTACGAGCCTTTGACTCAAATCCCTGATTTGACTAGCAATAGCAGAGTTCTGCCTTGCTTCTAACAAACCTGAAAGTTTTTCTCTGATCTCATCAAAACGTTCTGATAACTGAGCATCTTCTAAAAGTTTGGATATTTGATCAAATAATTTAGCAGACATAATCCTTGATTGGCCTTCATTAAGAAAGCCAGAGACTCTTTCTGACAAACTCATAAAAGTTTCTGTCAACTTTGCCACCACTTGCGACTCATCCCATACAGTCACAGACTCCTTATTGTTTTCTTTGACAGCAGAGTTCTCAAAGTCTACTAAAGAACCAAGGTTAATGGCTGGCTCCTGTTCTGCAGGAAGTACACTGTTGATTGTTCCCTTGGTTGTAGATACTATCGGGTTTGATATTACATTATTCTCAGAAGACAGATCAGTTTTCTTTGACTCTACTCCCCGCATGCTCAACCCAGCACCTCGTACTTCAAGAATCCATGTGTCAAATCCTTGGCTTGACATGTAACGTGCAAATGAAGACTGCAAATAGTTATATGCATCAATAAGAGGTTGAAGAACATAAATACTGAACATTTTTCATGTTTTGTTGATAGCATGGATATTGGATAATGAGGGAAAAATATTTACTAGAAATAATAGGATAACAAGTTATATGCAAAACAAAGATAGAAAAACTGTTTTGAAAAATTATTAAATGAAAAACAAGGAGAAGATGCTAATGGAGGAAAATCTAGCAATACTAATAATGTTAAAAATAATGTGTACCTTCATAGAGTTAGACCTACTAAAGTAAAAGAGGTACTAAATAAGATGAAGAAGGGAAAGGCACTAGGACCTGATGGAGTTTCAATAAAAGTGTGGAAAGGTATGGGAGATGCAGGCTTGTTATGACTAACTAAGTTATTTAGTGAGATAGTAAAAGAAAAGAGGATGTCTAATGATTGGAGAAATAGTAATATGGTGCCTATGTTTAAGAACAAAAGTGATATACAAAATTGAAATAACTATCTAGAGATTAAACTCAGGAGCCACACTATGAAACTTTGGGAGAGAATAATTGAACAAAGATTATGACTTGAAACAAGTGTATCATAGAACCAATTTGGCTTTATTCCGGGGAGATCAACCATGGAAGTTATATTTCTTTTGAGACGATTGATAGAAAAGTTCAGAGAGAAGAAGAAAGATCTTCATATGGTGTTCATTGATCTAGAAAAGCTTTATGATAAAGTTCCTAGATAAATAATATGATAGGTCTTGGAAAAGAAAGGAGTTCAAAATAGGTATAGACCTAATCAAGGATATGTATGAGGGGGCAACAACCAATGTTAAAACACCAGTGGAAGAGACTTAAGATTTTACAGTTACAATGGGTCTTCACCAAGGTTCAGCACTTAGCCCTTATGTATTTGCACTAACCATAGATGAATTGACTAAACATATTCAAGAAGAATTTCCATGGTGCATGTTGTTTGTGGATAACATTATTTTAATTGATGAAACTAATGAATGGTTTAATGCAAACTTAAGCTTATGGACAAATGCCCTAGAAACAAGAGGTTTTAAAATAAGTAGGGCTAAAATATTGCTGAGTCCTTGGTGCTCTGATGTTCCTCTTGCTGAGTCCTTCCCACTCCTCTTTCAGTGTGCTTCAGATCAAGAGGCCTCAGTTGCTGAGTGCTATAGTATTTCGGGTGGTTCAGTTCTTTGGATTCCCTCTTTTCAAAGAAATCTTTTTGATTGGAAGGTGGAAGAGGCAGTGAATCTCTTGACCTGTCTTCAAAATCAAGTTCTGGATTATAATTTGGAGGATAAGTGGCTTTGGAGGTGGAATTCTGATGGTCTGTTTTCTATAAAATCCTTGGCTGCTATGCTTGGTAGGAGGGGTGGTCCTGATTTCCCAACTCGGCAAGTGTGGAATCCAATCAGCCCAACAAAAGCCTGCTTCCTAGTTTGGACTATGGCTCTAAATAAATGCCTTTCTAAGGAGAATCTTGTGAGAAGGGGAATCCAGGTTTCAGACGTCTTGCAGTTTATGTGGTAGCAGTGCTGAATCCACTGATCATTTGTGCATCCACTGCCCGTTTTCTGCTCAGTTGTGGAACCATTTCCTCAACATCTTGAAGGTTTGCTGGGTGATGCCGAGGTCGGTTAAAGAGTTGTTAAGCTGCTGGCAGATTAGGGGTTTGAGCAAGAAAAAGAAGACACTCTGGAAGTTGATTCCAATTGTGGTAATCTGGTGCATCTGGACCGAGAGGAATAATAACAAGTTTCTGAGTCTAGAGGACCTAACTCAGAAGTTAGTGGGCAAGCTGATTTCTTGGCTGTCTGTGGCTGCATATTTTAGAAACTGTGATGTGTCAGATGTATTATTTTCTGTTTCTTGATGGTTCATGTATTTGCTGTTTAGATCAGTCAGCCTATTCTGGGACTGATCTCAGCCTCCTGTGTGTATCTCTTTCTCGATAAATATTACTTTACCTTTTTCCAAAAAAAAATAAGCAGGGCTAAAACAAGGTACATGACATGTAAATTTAATAATAATAGGAGTGTACATCAGGATACACTTAGGATTGGAGACCAAGAGATAATTCAATGTGATCATTTTCGGTACCTTGGTTCAATAGTTCATAACAAGGAAGAGATTGAAGAGGATGTCACCCAGACAACTAAAGCAGGTTAGGAAAAATGGAGGGGTGCATCTAGACTTTTGTGTGATAAGAGAATACCACTTAGATTAAAAAGAAAATTATATAAAATAGTTGCAAGCCCAGATATGTTAACATATTCAAAATATGAGCGACAGAAATGTGAATGCTAAGATGAATGAGTGGAAAAACTAGAAAGGATAGGATCAGGAATAAAGCCATCCATAGAAACATAGAAGTAGCTCTAATAAGTGGTAAAATGAGACAAAGTAGACTAAAATGGTTTGGTCACGTGCATAGAAGAGCACTAACATCTCCAATTAGAAGTGATTTGTTACAAGTGGAAGGGGCTATAAGATCTAGGGGCATGGACCAAAAAGAACATGGATAGAAGTAGTAAGAAATGATTTAAGCACTAATAATTAACAATGGATATGGATTTAAATAGAACGGATTGGTGAAACAGGATTCATGTAGTCGACCCCATAGTTGGGATAAAGAATGGATGATGATGATGATGATGATGATGATGAAGTTATATGCAAAAAAAAAAAAAATATGACTCACTCAAATGATCTTATTGGGGTATCTCGCCCCTTTTTCAGTAATACAAATATTATACCATTTATCAAAAAAAAAAAAACAACTTCACATTGCACTTCACTACCTTAGGTTCAAAAATGAACCAAAAAAACTACAGATTGCAGACATAAAAAGTAATCATTACTCTACCAACACATGGAAAAACCATTAAAACTGAATAACTGGATTATGGCAAACAGAAAGGTTGATCAATTTGATTTTTTTAACTGCCCTAAATCTCTCCTTCCACATGGATAATAGAAGAGATATAATTGAAATACATTATTTGAGATATATATTATTCACATCTTTCTGTGAATAATAAAGGTGAAAATTGCAAATAGGATACTATCCAATGATAAATACAAAGGAGTCAATGAGTTGTCTTATGTGAGTTAGGTAAAGTGTTGCAGATGTGTCAAAAAGAAGAAAGCAAATAACATAGATATGAAACCCACCAGATGTTGGTGGTTTAAAACCTAACTTTGATGGGTGCAGCCTTGAAAACCCAGGTGTTTCAGATATTGATGGGTGATAAGGGGTGAAGAGGGCAATATCAAGGTTCAAAGTATTGAAACATATTGTATCATATCTTTGGACCCATGACACACCATTTAAGGGGAGTTAGCAAAGAAATTTTTAATGATATTATATTATATGTTAAAATGCAATATTGTAATGCCCTTGTCAAAATCTAACACCAAACAGATAAAAAAAATGGAGTTTTGATAAAGACAAAACTCTCGATTCACAAATTTTTGAGTATTGAGAGTATTGATACATTGAACCTTGGGAAAATACAACTGAGATTTGCAGGGCCTGTGGGTACCAGAAACTCTTTAAGAACTGAATTGATAACAGTCATACAAGACAATCCAGGTGTTCCAGGTATTGGTGAGTGATAAAGGATGAAGAGGGCAATATACAACTGAAATTTTCTGGGTCTGTGGGTACCAGAAACTCTTTAAGAACTGAATTGATGACAACCAATACAAGGTTTAAAGTTAGCAGCTGCAGACAACTGGAGAAATTTAATTGTTGAGGAATGTTAAGTTGTTATTTCCTGGTCGCATACAGAAAAGCCATGCCATGGAAATTCAGGTTTACAGTAGGGGAAGCCCAGTCTTTAGGAATATATCTGAACAGGTCATTCAAATGGATCATGAGATGTGCTAATTAACTTGCTGATGCCCTAGCTAAGTAAGGGATTTCAAGAGATTGTTCAGTAGAGGTTTGCCCGGGACCTGGGAATGCAACATAAGCTTTCATCATAATGCATTAAGAGATGAGAGGTCAGCATGCTTTTTTTATCAACAATAGCTTTATTAAGAAGCAAAGCCAATAACAAAACAGGGAGAGATAAATTCTCTTAGCTCTCCCCGAGAAGTACAATCATACCAAAATACAAGAATAAAAGCAATTACAATCGATCCCAAAACATTGCATCCCTATTCACACCCTTGCTTTGTTAGCCCATCAGCTATGGAGTTGGCACTTCTTTTGATCCATACCACTTTAACTTCAATGTCTTGTGTTAACCACTTGAACATATTTCCTCCATTGCTGTAATTCCAAAAGACATTCCTCTCAATCTAGCTTAATTGAAACCTCTAGATTCAGATTCTAGAGCATTCCTCCATAATTCTAGTTTTCTCAATCCTATTTTAGTATTGTTAATCAAAGCTATTTCATCTACAAATGTCATACACCACCAAGCCTCCTTTTGTATAAGAACAATCTATTCACCCATCAGTTAATGAAAAAAAGTTTAGCACTGATCCCCAGAGAAAATCCATTGAAACTAATAACATATTTGTGTCTCTTTTGATTTTCTCATTCTAGTATCACCCATTCATGCATGTCCTAGTTTTTTCCATGTATTTAATTAACACTGGTTGCTTTCTCACTATTCCTGAAAGCTCTCTCAAGTCTCGAATAAGTTATCAGACTCAGAATGGCAACCAGGATAACTCAGCCAAGAATGTACCATATTTTCCTCAAACTGGGATTTGGCAGTTGGATAATGTTGCAGGGCCTCCTCATGAGTGATAGATGGTTGGAAAGTGTTATTAGTTAGGACAAGTCCAAATAAGCCCTAAGAAATACGACCTCATTTGCCTATATTTTGTTAATTCAGGAACAACTGGCTCCCAGACATGGCAAACAAGAAACATTGAGAACAGAAGAACTAAGATGGTAATAAATATCAATTCGATCATCTAAAACCAAATGTCCATTCACCAACCATGGATTGAACTGGGATCTGAGCTAGCAAATAAAATCAGAAAATGAATTAAAATAATAATACTCATGTAATGAACGAAAGACTTCAGAAGAAGAGAAAATTCTGAGTAGTGAACGATGTTCACAGTATGTTGGGTTGAGTAAGGCTCAAGCATCAGAAAAGTCGGAAGATTCCGAACTTTCTGCTACCACTTAAAATGAACCACAGTGAATAATGAATTCTCAATTAACAGCAACACAATGACTTGCATGCAAATAATGAACAGAATAAACTTACCCCAGGAGAGAGATCATATCCAATGGCGTTAGTCCCCACCCCAGATAAAAGCAACAGAGGATGATTTCTCGAGGGTGCCTATTGATGAATGCAACAAGCGCAGACCATTAATTCCCCAAAGCCTAAATTTCAGTGAAACTGAAACAAAATTATCAAACAATATGGGGTCCTTCAAAAGCGGTGGCAAGACTGACCTTGGGAGAAGGAATATAGCGCCAGAGAGCAAGTCTCCAATCGGAGTTGGGGGCGGAGACATAGTGCAGCTCATCGGCCGTACAAATGGCAGGCTGGATGGTCTTGTCGACGAGCGCCTCGCTCTCAATAGAGGAGGGAGAGGAAGAGAAAGCCCTTACCCTCGATCTCAACTTTAACCTCAACGACTCAGCACGCACCTTGGTTCGTCTACACAAGGCGATGCGGGACTCTGGCCACGCGCTCAATGGAATTTGATTCAGGTAACAAAAAGTGGCGGCAATTTGCAGTGCCGACCGGAGGTCCGACTGAACCGGATACATTTATCCTGCCGTCCGTCGGAGCCTGTCGCTGCTTTCGTTATTTCAGGTTTTACTTCTTATCCTTTGGTAACCAATTAAATTTAAAACTGAAGTGAATTCGCAGGAGCTTCAGAGTTCAGACACGAATCCTGATTACCTTTTGCTTTTTTTTCCTCTCCTTGGTGCATCATAAAAATGAGATTGAGGTCTATTGAGGAAGAAGCCAACTTTGTCGGGTGGTGATTTATGAAATATGATCATGATGGCGCGTTTTACAGGCGACCAAACCGGTCACGAACGATTCGATGATCACATCTGTAAATTGCATGTTAGTACCATCTATTCATTTGGTATTCCAACTTCGTGCCATTATAATATCTGATTTCTCAAAAATTGACATTTTAGGCACCGTCCCGTTACCGTTAGCATTCCATTATTTGATGCATGTGATAATGTTACATGCAATTTGAAGCTTTTAAAATCCTAAAATTAGAAGATAATGTCCATCGTCATCGTCCTCTTCATCCTTTAATTCTCATATTCTTTTAAGTGTAATTTTATTTGTAGCTATCATTATTCGATCTACGGTTTGATAATGGTTGAACCTCTAATTTATAAATCCTCCCTTTTTTAGGTTCTATGTCCGGTCAGGTCGTTTGGACATTGTTGCTAATTGAAATGTTTAATTAATAAAATTAAATAAAAAGTATGTCTACTATGTTGTTTTATTCAGAAACTAAACTTATACACGGAATGGATATAGCTCACTACCTCCAAGGGGTGCAAATATAGATGGAAGGGACCAAGGGGAGAGCAAGCATGGGGAGGGGAGAATATATATATATATATGGAAAGGGGATACAATATATACAAAACAGTTAAGAAATTTTCTCTTTGTTTAGAGATTTTTATTTTTTTTATTTCATGTTATTTTGAAAACAACCAATGAGATGCACTTGTCCAATAACCTAAATAATCTCTTCTCCTAAACTACCTCCCCACTATCTCCTACTTTCTTCAAAATTATCTCTAATTCTTATTTATCTTCTAAATTATCTCTAATTTCTATTTATCTCCAAAATTACCTCCAATTTAGTAGAGAATTTCTTTCCTAAATTATTTCTAATTCATATTTATTCTCTCCTCTATTTTTTATTTATATCTATCTAAAGAAAGTTTGAATTAAAAATTTTAAGAATTATTTAAATATTCTAACAAGATTATATAATAACTTTAAAATATTTATTAAAAACACAAAAAATAAATTATATTTTTATAAAATATATCACGAAATTATGTACTAACAATTTAAACTCTGTTTTTCTAGATAATATATATATATATATATATATATATATATATATATATATATATATATATNTATATATATATATATATATATATATATATATATATATATATATATATATACACTACTATAAAAGTATGAATAGCTCCTATGGCTACTGGAATTTTTTTAACATTTATGGTTATTATAAAAAAAAAATAATACAAAAAGACAAAAAAGAAGTGTGGACCTTAATATTGAACCCTGCTTTAGCGCTGGTTTCTATTAACATAACAACAACGTCACAGGACTTGGCATCTCCCTCCTCTATTGAAACTTGCCTATTTGATTGTTAGGACATTGTTATTATGAAGTAACAAAAGTTAATAACATTATAATTCAAAATTTCCTTGGTTACATGGACATTGCAAGGACATTGGTTGGGCAAACACACAACATGGAATTTATACTAAAATTTATGTATCTGACACGTATACAACATCCATATTTTTTAAATTCCATGCAACATACAGAAATTTCAACTTTGACACCATTACAGGACAAGATCAAATAATGCATTTAAGTTCATATATGCTTAGGAAGTAAGAGAATGGTATACCAAACTGGATTTGCATATGCCCAAGAAAGTAGGCAATCAGAAATTGAAATTATTCATAAATGTTAGTGCACTAAACTCTTAAGTTCACTACCTACCTTTTGTCAACAATATCAGTTTTGTTATGGCTAGGGCTTTTCCAAATAAGCCAGGCCGAGCCCAAACCCAACCCGATAATATTAAATATAATATGATATATGTCTTAATAATATATAATATAAATTACATAGTAGTCAAATTAATAGCAAAAAAGTATTATATATATATATATATATATTAAATGTATAAAATATTATATAATATATAATATATTATAATTAGAATCGGAATCGAAATCATAATCCTTTAGAATCGGAATTGGAATGGTCTATTCCTATAATCTGTTTGGTTCAGATAGAAATGAGAATGAAAATTGGAATCAGCAGAAATGAAATTTCACTCCCAATGGAGGGGCAGGGAATGACCATTCTCTCAAATGGGAAAATGTCATTCCAGTAGGAATGGGAATGGGATTCCGATTCCGCCCAACCAAACAGTTGGGATCAGAATAGCCCATTCTGATTCCAATTCTAAACCCCTATTCCTTCGAGCCAAACGGGGCCAAATAACATATTGTGTGTGAAACCGTGTCTTCAAGGCAAAATATCATCACCCCCACTATTAAGATCAGTTTGTGCAAAAACCTGTACATTTCCAAAAACCTTCAAAATGTTAGGGAGAAGAAAACTGAACAAATTCAGGCACAATTTAGAAGGAGTACAAATGCAAATTTGTAGAGTGCAAAACCTTATATTTTTTATTATTTTGTATGTTTTTGCACTGTACATTCAGGCACAATTTAGAAGTATATTATTTATACTCCTTCCAAATTGAGCCTCAGTTACAATGAAAATATATGGTTTGAAACTTTGAATGGTTTCAAATGGCATAGCTACTACCTTACCTATTAGAAATGAGATGGTCTTCAAGCCAGAAAATCCAATGGAAACTCCTGCATCAAGAGCTTGTTAGGTGTTAGTAGAAAACAAAAGCATCAAAGTCTGGTTGGGTTTCACTTGTTGAAGGGCTTACAGTTGACGTTTTGAGGAACAATCTCTGTTCGTGGAATGTTAAGTTATTAACTTAGAGGAAAGTCCTATAATTGAGAGTTAACCTAGAGGACTCTGCATTCTGCAAATTAAACTTACAATGTTGTGAACATGGGGAACGTGTCGAAGCAAATCCAAAATTGTAAATATTTGAAAATTAAAAAATACAAAAATCATAAGGTACTATAATTTGAGACAAACGTGGTAAGATCGTTTGCAATTCTTGTCATTTCAACTTAAACAAAAGGGAAAATTCCCGATTAGTATCCTTTGCTTTGGGTCTAGTGTCACTTTTGGTCTCTGAACTTTAAAATGTGATAATCCAGTATCTGAACTTTCAAAATGTGTCAAATGCAGTCCTAAATCCTTGTCTTTTTTATTCAAGAAATTTAGGGTCCAAAACGCCCATTGAGACGTGACCCCAACTTTTTTGAATAGAATAAGTAAAGATTTGAGATCATTAATTTTTTGTCAACACTTGAATGGTTGATAAAGAAAATTAGATGAATCTCAAAGGGCATTTGTGTCTTTCTCAAATCCCACTTAACGACTGATTAACAATTGGTTAACGATAGGTACTGGATTGACACGTTTTGAAAGTTTGGATATTAAATTGTTGCATTTTAAAGTTTGGAGACCACAGTGACACTAGGCCCAAGTATAGGGTACTAATCGAGAATTTTTCCTAAACAAAAAATCAAAAACTCTAAAAATTCTCAAAAGTTAGTAAATGATTTAAGAATGAAAGATGAGGTATGATGATATGTACAATTGTGTTTATAGAATATAGTATAGATTACTATTTAAATTATGTAATTAAAATTAAACTATTATAATTAATAGTAATGTATTGATCATGACAGTAATTAAAAAGTTATAAATTTATAGTAATTTATATTTATATTAAGTTAATAGCATTTGTAATAAATTAACAATAATTTATAATCATGTACGGTAATTTAAAGTAATTAATTATCATAATTAATTAAAGTTAATTTTTAGAAGTAATAACTACTGTAATAATCTAACCGTAATAGTTACAATATAAATTTCACTGTAAAAATTTATATTAGTTGCGATGATTTATAATCGAAACGTAATTAATTATTAACCATCACTGTTTCATATTAATTAATACATTTAACTATCATTATTACCGTCATTATTTTACAATGTACTTAATTTAGTAAGTGTTTCCAAAGCTCCAACCTCCTTAACCCAATTCAAAGCTAATGGATGTTCGACACGATTATAGTAGCAAAACAGAGCATCCAAACCACTTTGTTTCCATCTGAAATCAGTTCCATGATTTTATAGATGATTGTTGGAGGGAGATTCAAAATTTCAAGAATCTCTCTCTTCCTTCTCTTATTTTTGTCTTTTCCTCTTTCTATTTTTGAGTGCAGGGTAAGACTCCTCATCTCATATTGTTTGCAAATGAAAACTGCAAAGAGAGGCAATGTTGTCTTCTCAAGCTTTGGCCTTTGTGTCCTATTTTGAATAGTTTCTCACTATATCACGATTTACCAGTTTGAGTCTATTAGTAGGGGGGAATGGAAAAACGTATATGGATTATAGAGCAAATGTTGAAAGAGAGGGAGATAGTGAACTGCGTTACTTTATATATATATATACTAGCAGGGCATGTGGGATGCATGAGAAAACTAGAAAAGTTGATTAATTTTATTAATTGATAATCAAAAATATGTCAGAGATTTTTCCTTTATGTAGAGATCAAAGTATAGGAAAGGCTTAAAATTATTGTTCCATGGGGCTACACAAGATGGATCATCCCTCAAACCCATAAAGCCCCCCAATCACCGCTACAAATCAGTAGGACACCTTACCAACTAATTGATACTTTGGTAGGGGATGTTTAAAACTAAACTAACAAAAAAATCTCTATTTCATTTTGTTTGCATAACAAAAAATAAATAAAACAATAAAAAGAAACACTTGACAAATATCTTAAAAATCATTTGTATAAATATTGATATGAATAAATTATTTTTCAAAACTTTACAAATAAACTTCTGAATTGATATGAAATAAATTTTCCAAAATCTATTGATATGAATACATTAATTTTCAAAAATTCTGAATTTATGAATAATTAATTACTAAAAATATCAAGTACTTATTGGGAAATTTTACTTGAGTGCTTTCCATAAGCTAACTTTCATATTTTTGGTAATTTAATTTAGTGAAAGTTAATTTATGAATAATTAACTACTAGAAATATAAAAAATTTTCAATAAGTTCTAACTT